GGCTCCTCTCCCTCCATGGGGAGCTCAGTCGGATTTCTCCTTCTCCTTCATGTGCAGGAAGACGATGCTGAACATGAAGAGACCGACCATCATGGAGAAGGCACCAGCATAGTACGGGTATGCGGAGGGGATGAACCGTTCGTACTGCGTGTGCTGGAGGGGACGCACGGACACCTGGGAGGGGACAGAGCAGCCCTTCGAGTCTAGCACCCCATAAACTCAACCCCCCTGGGTGATTAATCCCCCCTGGGCTCACCTGGGTGGAGGAGTAGAGGTGGGTGTAACCCAGGCGGTTATAATCCACTTTGAACTGAAACACACCGTAGACGTCCGGCAGCTTGAAGCGCACGCTGTATTTGCCGCCTGGGATAGAGACAGTGGTGACATTAAGGTGATGGTGACACTGAGGTGACCACAGTGAGGGGTGGGATCGGGCCCCTAGCAGGGCTGGGGCGCTGGGGGAACCTACCGTTCCTCTTCAGGAAGGTCCGCACGAAGGGATCGATGCGCACGAACTCCAGCTGAATGTCATCGCCATCAAAGGGGACCCACTTGCCATCAGAAAGCTTCTCGATGACAATGCTGTACTCCTGCAACAAACCCACAACAGGGGAAGTTCATGAGTGACGCCTGAAAACGAACCTCAGCCCATTATGAGCTCCTGTGTCCCCTCCCAGGCGAGCAGCCGTACCACGAGGTCGGTGACAGTGTAGGCACTGGGAGGTGCGAGTTCCCCCACACGGTGGTGGGACACGGCTCCGACGCGCAGCACTCCCTCTTCCTTGAACACCCAGCGGGACAGGGCAATGGCCAGCTCGTAATTACCCGTCTGTGAGTACCTGTGAATGGAGGAATGCTGGGAAAGCACAGCAGCCATGCCCTAAAACCACACCATGTGCCAAAACCTGCACCACTAATAGATCTGAAAGCAACACAAAGACATTTGGGGTGAAAGGAGAGAATAGCTTCCCAAAGCACTTTGCTCCAAGGCCAGAGGAGTGCATCACCCTGATCACACCTGGGGAAACCCCAAGCAAAATATGGGATGAAGAACAGCCCTGAGGACTCTGGGGTGTTGGGTGATGAGAAGCTTCCCCATGACCCAGCTTCAGTGTGTGCTTGAGCCCAGAACCACCCCAGTGTGTTGGGCTGCACCCCCAGAGTGTGAGCCTGTGCTGTGTGCTCTGGGGAGATCCCCCCTGCAGTCCTGATCCAGCTCTGAGGCAGCAGCACAAGAGGGACCTGGAGCTGCTGGAGCGAGGCCAGAGGAGGCCATGGAGATGCTGCGAGGGCTGGAGCAGCTCTGCTCTGGAGCCAGGCTGAGAGAGCTGGGCTGGGGCAGCCTGGACAAGAGAAGGCTCCTGAAGGGGAGACCTGAGAGCAGCTCCAGTGCCTGAAGGGGCTGCAGGAAAGCTGGAGAGGGGCTTGGGACAAGGGATGTAGGGACAGGCCAAGGGGAATGGCTTTAACCTGCCAGAGGGGAGACTGAGATGAGCTCTTAGGCAGAAGCTCTTCCCTGTGAGGGTGCTGAGGCGCTGGCACAGGGTGCCCAGAGAAGCTGTGGCTGCCCCATCCCTGGCAGTGTTCAAGGCCAGGTTGGACACAGGGGCTTGGAGCAAGCTGCTCTAGTGGAAGGGGTTCCTGCCCGTGGCAGGGGTTGGAGCTGGATGAGCTTTAAGGTCCCTTCCAACCCAAACCATTCCATGATTCTATATATTTAATTAAAGCTTTCCACCGTGAACATGAATATTTGCAGGATTTTCTTCATTAAACAGCTCCCCAAATACTCCTCAGCCAGGGAGCCAACTTACCTCTTGGAGCCAGGAGTAGCTTTCTGCACAGCAGAATTGAAGAAGGCATCACTAAAGAAATCCAAGGATCCACTGAAAACCACACGGGCGTTGTTTCGAGCCTGGAGTCCAGCAATCAGAAGCGTGTTCTTCCCCACTGCATGTGGGTACTGGAAAGAAACGTGTTTAGGAGGGAGTTTAGCCCATGTGGGGATGATTAAAGAATAGCTAATCTAGGTTTGTGGTGGGGTGAGACAGTAGCTGGTACAGCCTGTGATTAAGGAGAAACCAAGAAGCTTGGAATAACCCAGTGCTAGGGTTCACAGCTCCTGGAACAGGACATGGAGAGGCGATTTGGTCTAGGCAGGGTTTTCTTCCATTGCTTCCCTCACACTGGATATTTTGTCACCAACAGAAAGCCAAAAGGAAGATTCCCACCAGGGCATTGTCAGAAAGCAGACAACAGCCTGAGCCTTTCAAGGAGATGAAACACTCTGGTATGTTCCCAAGTGGCTGAAATCTGAGGGACTTAACTGTAGAAGCATAAAAGAAGAGAAGTAGTAACGGAACGTACCTGAGTAATGGGTTTATCTGGGAAGAAGGAGTAAGAGGTGGAAGAGCCGGTCAGGATATCCAGCACCAGCGGGTTGTCGGGATCAGCCACCATCCTTGCAGGGAGAGGCACAGTGAGCAGCACAAAGTCACTCTGGGAACCCCACAGAGGGACATGCAGCCTCCACCTCAGGTACCCAACTGCCCTCAGATGCAGCAAGGCAGAGCTTGCACACACACAGATATTAAGTATTTCCACAAGATATCGAGTCAAGCTTCAGTGATTTAAGAAACATTCCTAATTCAAGGACTGAGCTGCTCTGGAGAATTTATTATCATCTGAAACCAAGACATGGCTCTGTTAAGAGTCACAGCTGCTCACCCTAGGCTTACCTCGCAGTACATCCGTGTTTTCACTCTGCATCCCCAACCACCAGCACCTCCCCTCCCTCCCACTTGACTCACCCAACTCCTCGGAACAGGATGGGGTTCAGGGCTGCTCTCCCCACGATGGTGGGGGCCTTCAGGAGGTTTTCAGTGTCTGCAACTATGAGTGTGTGCTAGGAGAAACAGAAGAGAGAACAGTGTCACTGCAGTGCAGGGCAGGAAGGTTCATGTCAGGCTCTCATGGCTTCTCGTTGGATGGGGCTTGGAGGAACCTGCTGTAGTGGAAGGTGTCCCTGCCTATGCAGGGGATTGGAACTGGATGAGCTTTAAGGTCCCTTCCAACCCAAACCACACCATGATTCTATGATTATTTATGACTTTCCTGGGAGGAAGGTGGGAGAACAGAAAACAGGTGGAGGAAAAAAAAGAAAAGCAAGGACAGAAGATTCATCCCTAAACATTTATATAACAGTTCTAACTGAAAATACCCAAATCATCCTGGCAAACCGATGTACCTGGCCTGGGTCGGATATATCATAGTTGTGATGGTCGATGACAGCTGTCCTCTCCTCATCAAACTCAATCCCACACTCGCTGCCCAGCTCTCGCAGTGGGTCACCTGAAGGACAAAGCAGATTCTCCATTATGCAGCACATTCAGGACGTGATGACAGTCTCAGCAATCAAAATAAAGAGTAAATTCAGCTCAGAGCCATGCATTATTTTGCATTCCACAAGCCAAACCCTGAGGAGCAACACAACCTCCCTGTTGCTAAATCCCTGTTAAAATGGCAGTAAAAGCTGTTTATCACCCCCTTCCTCACAGTACAAATCTTCACAATGAGAAACTGTTTTCACCCCATTTTTGCTGCAGGAACTCACAGAAGGACAAATAAACTATTTGCTCACTGCAGACCATAAGCAGCAGAGGTGCTCATTACAAGAAGCGGCTGAAACACCCCAATTGGCTCTGGTGAATGGTTGTACTCACCGATGTCTGAGCTGGCGGCGACAAGGACACTGCCACCACCATCAATGAAGGCAGTGATGGTTTCTACATTGATGTTTCCACCAAAATCTGAAAGCACACACCGGAAATTCATAAGAAAGTTCTCAGAAATAACACCACAGCAGAATGAAACCACAGCAAAACAGAAATCATTTCCCTCATGGCTGAAAGAACCTCTGCTAAATGCCTTGGATGCATCAGCAGTTTGCTACTGACACAAAGAATAACATCCAAAGCATAAGATTGGATTAAAATTCACAGAACAGTTGGAAATCCCCTTCAAAACCGCTCCAAGAGCACTCTGGTATTTACCTTCTATGGAGGGTGAGAAGATGATCAAGTTGTCATACAGAAACTCTCCATATTTAATCAGGGACAGGCCAGCATCATCCGCCGTGCGAAAGGTGAGATCGAAGCCCCTGTCTGCAGCCACGACACAACATCCATCAGTTTAGTGTGTCACAACACTGACACATAAAGCAACAAAGCAGCATCAAGACCCTAAGGTTTATTTCCCCAATAAACAGCCGTGTTCTGGGGGAAAGTGGCTTCGGAGCTTTATGGGAGCACCACTGGGGTGCTCCCACCTAAAACCAAACGGGCCCAATCCCCTGGAGAGCCGCTTTGTTGCAAGGGGCTGACACCCATCAAGCGGCGACCTGGCACCCAGGCAGGAGTGGGGAAACAGCGCCGGGGGACCCCAGGCCTCTCCTCATCCTCACCAGGGGACGCCGTTCTCCTCCCTCAGCCGCCCCCCGAGCCCTACCCGCGAGGCTGCGGAAGAAGAGCGAGTGCGTGTCGCGGAGGTTGCTGTTCTCCAGCAGCACCAGGGTGCGGGGCCCCCCCTCAGCGCCGGCGGCCGCCGCCACCACCACCAGGAGCCACCACAGACAGAGCACGGCCAGCGCCATCTTGCTCCCCGGCGCCAAGCTTCCCCCGGAAGCGGGTGGAAGAGGGCAGCCAATCAGAACGGGGAGCCGCACTCACGACAACCAATCAGCGACAGACAACTCCTCGCCGCCGGCCAATCAGCGGGGCGCCGTCGGGACCCCAGCGCGGCCACCGTAGCAGCGTGGCGGCGGTAGCGGTGCCCCGCATGGGAGGAGGCAGGAGCGCAGTAAAAGAGCTCGAATGGCGGTGTCAGGCTGGTTTATTGCAGCGGTGCAGGGTGCGAGAGGCCGTGACCACAGCGAGTTCACGCGTGTCCCGCACCCTCCTGTACAGCAACAGCGTTTTGGTGCAAAACCGCAGCGATTTGGCGTCTTAATGTCGGCAGTGGCGGGGTCGGAGGCGGTGGCCGCCGGAACCCTTCTTGCTCTTGGTGCTGGCGGTGGTGGGAGCGAAAACCAGGGCCTGGAGGCGAAAGGGTCGGGGCCGGGCACGCAGAGCCCCCTCGGGCCTCGGGGCTGCTGTGAGAGGAGGGAAGAGGCCTGAGGGGCATTGCCCTTGTGGGACACAGAAACGGCCCGGCCCTGCCCCTATTGAATCAAGGCAGCTGGGCCAAAAAGCTCTCCCTCAAAAGTGAAGTGAGGAAAGCAAAGGGGAAGTCCAGGATTACCTCGGTTTGGGGTCGGGTTGTGGTGCAGGATGACGCTGGTGCGCCGCGGTCGGAAGTAGTTGGAGGCAATGGTCTCGCTGTCACTCCTGTTGAGCACCAGCTTGTAGTGGTCTTCCTCCATCTGGAGGTGGAAGACACGGTCATCAGCACCAAGCCCTGCACTGCACACGTGTTCTGTGGCTTGGGAATGGGGCAAAATGGTAAAACACGATGGGAAAGGAAGGAGGAATGTGCCATACCGCTGGCTCTCTGCTCTCAGCCAAGGGGCTGTCATGGGAAGGTCTGGACGGTGGCAGGGCTGGAACTACTGCAAGAGGAGACCGGTGTTAAAGGCTCAGCTAACGCTCTCCTGCTCACAGCACCACTCCCTGACCACAAGGCTCAGAGATTCCCAAAGCATCCATGTCTTACACAAACTTTCCAGACAGACTCTGTATATACAAGGGAGATTTCAGAACCCAGCAGCACCATCAGGACGCTCCTGTTACCTGCAGGCAAGTGGATTTTGTGGATGATGGGCTCTGGAATTTTCCAGCAGCCAGATTCCTCATCCCAGATGGATTCACGCTTGATCCTCTCCAGGTTGCTGTAGTTGCAGTCATGGCGGACGAGCAACTGCACCTGATCCAGCAGCTGTTGGCAGAGCATCAGGTCTCTCTCCAGGCGGCGGATGGTGCTCAGGTAATTGATCCTCTCCAGTTCAAACTCCAACTGCAGGTCTTTGATCTCGGTCTCAGCAGCTTGTAGCTGGGATGTAAAATAAGTCATTGGGGTTATAAAGTAGAGAGCACAAGCATTTGTCAGGTAGAGGGATGGAGGCACACAAAAAGGCTTTAATATTTCAGATTTAAAAATTAGGATGAGATTTGGGTGGAGAGGTTATTCCACATTGGATTTAACAAAGATTTCTCAAGTTTCTCCACAGAGTCAAGTCTTTGAGTTCATAGAATCACAGAATAGTTAGGGTTGGAAAGGACCTTAAGATCATCCAGTTCCAACCCCCCTGCCGTGGGCAGGGACACCTCACACTAAACCATGGCACCCAAGGCTTCGTCCAACCTGGCCTTGAACTCTGCCAGGGATGGAGCATTCACAACTTCCTTGGGCAACCTATTCCAGTGCCTCACCACCCTCACAGTAGAGAGCTCTTCCCTTGTATCTAACCTGAACTTCCCCTGTTTCAGTCTGAACCCATCACCCCTTGTCCTATCACTCCAGTCCCTGATGAAGAGTCCCTCTCCAGCATCCTTGAGCCCCCTTCAGACACTGGAAGCTGCTCTGAGGTCTCCACACAGCTTCTCTTCTCCAGGCTGCACAGCCCCAGTGTTCTCAGCCTGGTTTCCATACAGGGATAAGAAACCCTCAGAAGTTCCTAGCACTGATGAAAAAGGAAAATATTTCTTAGGAAATATTTCTTTGATTACCTACATACTGAAATAAAGCAAATTCTTAATTTGCAATTTAGCACTGCGCACACACACAAACACGGAGAGAGTTTGTCTGGAACTTCCTTGGATTCTTCCTCATCAGAGCAAACCTGGCAAGCTAAAATCTAAGAGCATTGCTTTTGTATTTACTTATTTGTATTTATTTATGTTTCATTCCCCCCACCCCCGAGGCACTTCTGACAGGGTAATTTCTTCCTGCAATGAGCTGATGAGGAGGAAGCTGTGCAATAGATCGTGCATGTCAGCAGAGGGAGTTGCATCCTCTCATCACCAGACATCATAGTCATAGAATCACAAATTGGTTTGGGTTGGAAGGGACCTTAAAGCTCATCCAGCTCCAACCCCTGCCACGGGCAGGGACACCTTCCACTAGAGCAGCTTGCTCCAAGCCCCTGTGTCCAACCTGCCCTTGAACACTGCCAGGGATGGGGCAGCCACAGCTTCTCTGGGCACCCTGTGCCAGCACCTCAGCACCCTCACAAGGAAGAGCTTCTGCCTAGTTATCCTCCAGCAGTGCCACACACAGAGACCAGCCTTTAAAATGGGTGGGATTTGGGGTTTCACCAACCTAATTCACTGCCCTGAGGGCTGCTGCATCTGGGATTTCATAGCAACATGTGCAAACAGCCATATAGGGACTAACACATGTAGAATATTTGGTACAGCCAGCATCACTTCATAACATGCTGACCTAAAACAACTCCTTCACCTAAACAGAAAGTACACAGAGGACAAAAGAGATGAGAAGGACAGTGGGGGGCTGCTCACCCTTCTCTGCATCTTCTCCAGAAGCCTGCTCTTGGCTCGAACCTCCTCGTGGATGGAGTCATAGACGTTGAGCAGCACCCAGTCGCTGCTGTCCTCAGTCGCCTGCTGCAGCGCGGCCACCAGCTGCATGTGCCGCTCATCCGCGTATCTCTTCCGACGCTTGCGCTTCTCCTTGAGGTCCTTGTTTTTTGCCTGCTCCCCCCCTACTACCTGTTGCTCCAGCACCTGCAGCCTGGGAAAGGGAAACACTGCCCTCAGGAATGTGTGTCCTCACCTGGATGATGTTTGGGAAGCTGCAGTGCAGAAAATAGTGATGTCTGATGAGATCTGCTGTCCTGAGTAGCCACGGCAGATCCCACTTTCATTTTGGTTTATGAGAAACTGAACATGACTGAGCTTCAGTGTGCGCTTGCAGCCCAGAAGCCACCTCTGAGCTGGGCTGCATCACCAACAGCTTGAGCAGGAGGCTGAAGTAGTTGATCCTGCCCCTCTACTGCACTCCGGAGAGATCCCAGTTACAGCACCGTGTGCAGTTCTGGTGTCCTCAACATAAACAGGACGTGGAGCACCTCCAGAATAAAGACAGGCTGAGAACACTGGTGCTGTTCAGCCTGGAGAAGAGAAGCTGCGTGGAGACCTCAGAGCAGCTTCCAGTGTCTGAAGGGGGCTGCAAGGATGCTGGAGAGGGACTCTTCATCAGGGACTGTAGCAATAGGACAAGGAATGATGGGTTCAAACTGAAACAGGGGAAGTTCAGGCTGGAGATAAGGCAGTTCTTTACTGTGAGGGTGCTGAGGCGCTGGCACAGGGTGCCCAGAGAAGCTGTGGCTGCCCCATCCCTGGCAGTGTTCAAAGCCAGGTTGGACACAGGGGCTTGGAGCAAGCTGCTCTAGTGGAAGGGGTCCTTCCCTGTGGTAGGGGTTGGAACTGGAGGAGCTTTAAGGTCCCTTCAGCCCAAGCCAGTCTGGGATTCTGATTCTATTAACAGTTTCTCTGGCCCCAAGGCAAAACACGTTACTCCAAGCACCTCTGCTGACAGTTATGTCTGGAAATTTGTATCTACATGCAGAGAATTCTTTTCAAAAATCTCGGTTCCTAAAATTTATATTTAAATTATTATTGAAATGCATACTGGTATGTTCTTGATTTTCAATTCTTCTTTCTTGTTTTCAAAGACTCTAAAAGCAAGCCAAAATGGTTTTTGAGCACTCCCAGGGACGGTGACTCCAACCTTGCCCTGGGCAGCCTGTTCCAATGCCTGAGCACCCTCTGGGGAAGGAATTGTTCCTCAGCTCCATCTAAACCTGCTCTGGTGCAGCTTGAGGCCGGTTCCTCTTGTCCCATCCCTTGTTCCTTGGGAGCAGAGCCCAACCCCTCCTGGCTCCATCCTCCTGGCAGGCAGTTGTAGGGAGCCATCAGGTCCCCCCTGAGCCTTCTCTTCTCCATCTGAACCCCCCAGGTCCCTCAGCCCTTCCCCATCACACTTGTGCTCTAGGCCTTGCACCAGCTCCACTGCCCTTCTCTGGCCCTGCTCCAGCACCTCAGTGTCTCTCTTGTAGTGAGGGGCCCAGAGCTGAACACAGGATTCGAGGTGCAGCCTCACCAGTGCCCAGTGCAGGGGCACAATCCCTGCCCTGGCCCTGCTGCCGCACTGGTGCTGATCCCGGCCAGGATGCTGGGGGCTTCTTGGCTGCCTGGGCACAAGCTGCTCATGTTCAGCTCCATCAGTCAGCAACTCCAGGTCCTTTTCCATGAGCAGCTTTCCAGCCACTCTTCCCCAGGCCTGGAGCATTGTAGGGGGTTGTTGTGGCCCTTGTTGAACCTCATCCCATTGGCAACATCCCATGGATCCAGCCTGTCCAGATCCCTCTGCAGAGCCTCCTGCCCTCCAGCAGATCAACGCTCCCACCCATCCTGGTGTCATCTGCAAACTCACTGAGGGTGCACTCAATCCCCTCATCCAGATCATCAATGAAAATATTAAACAACACTGGCCCTACCACCGAGCCCTGAGGGACACCACTAGTGACTGGTCACCAACTAGATGTGACACCATTTACCACTCCGTGGGCTCTCCCAACCAGCCAGTTTTCAACCCAGCTGGCTGCCACAAACCCGTGTTTGAAATCAAATTCTTCTCATGTCCCTGAATGCTCTGACATGGAAATAAAGCCATACTCCAGAGCTGTTCTCTTTGTCTGCACAGGGACCTGAAGCAGAGCAGGCAGCTCAGCTTGGCCAGTGCAGTCCAATCAGACAAAAGCCCACTGCTGATCAAACCTCTTCTGATAGTAACCTCTTAATCGTCTTCAAACCACCCAAAAAGAGCTCACCCCACCAGAGGTAGCCTGCTATTGTACTTTACCGTGCTTGCCAAGTAGCCTTTAGTCTCTTTTGCTTAATACATGATTGAATCCTTGCTGAGTACCCGAGCTCTCCCAGCCAGCCTGATGTGCCATGCTTTTAACAGGCAGCTTTGCTAATCCCCACTCCTGCAGAACCAAACCCTCCTGCTTCATCTGCACAGAGCTCTGGTGTTAATAGCAGAATTAGAAAAGCATTTTCCACTTCTCTGTTACAAAAAAGAAAGCTTCCATAGAACTGTTAGAGTCACAACACCCTTTTCTTTGGAGAGCTCTCCACTGATAGACAGAATTGCCCTCAAATTACAGACACTGCTACTGGAGATTTCTTAATAGCTCCTTTTTTTTAGTTGGGAGAGCCCCAACAGGGTGAACTTGCACCACAGGAGCTCACGGTAAAGCTGAAAGACTGGTTAAACCCCACAGAACTGTTCAAACTCAAACTCTATCATCTACAATCTATCTTATGTTCAGTATTTCTAATTTAAATATAATTCCACACAATGGATTAAAGGAGAGCTATTAGCAGAATTTGCTTAAAGCATGTATTTCTGAATCAGCCCCAAACCCCCATGCTGTGTCAGTGTGCTGTGTTGTATTCTGGAAGGAGTTCTAAAGGAATTCTAAAGGAATTCTGTCAAGCTGCCTCTTGCCCAGAGGAAAACCTTCAAGACAGGATGCCCCCGAGATGGGCCAAGCATGAGTCTTAAGCCTCATCACAGTATCACAGTATCACAGTATGCTAGAGATTGGAAGGGACCTCAAAAGATCATCTAGTCCAATCCCCCTGCCGGAGCAGGAACACCTAGATAATGTTACACAGGAATGTGTCCAGGCGGGTTTTGAATGTCTCCAGGGAAGGAGACCCCACAACCTCCCTGGGCAGCCTGTTCCAGTGTTCCGTCACCCTCACTGAGAAGAAGTTTCTTCTCAAGTTTAAGTGGAACCTCTTGTGTTCCAGTTTGTACCCATTACCCCTTGTCCTATCATTGTTTGCCACTGAGTAGAGTCTGGCTCCATCCTCGTGACACTCCCCCTTTATATATTTATATACACTAATAAGGTCACCCCTCAGTCTCCTCCAAACTATAGAGACCCAGCTCCTCTCATGCTTGAGAGGTGCCCCTAAAATGTGATTATTGGGAAATGTTGGTGTCAGTTGTGGCTGAGGTCTTGCAAACACTGCCATGTGCAGGAGTTAGAGACAGAAGTGACCCCCGTGACAAGACAGCATGGCAGAGAACATGCTCCCCTCCTTTTGCTTCCAGGCACAGCAAGCAGCGGAGCCTTACTTGTATTGGCATTGGAGAGCTCAAGAACTCTTTCCAAGAGGAAGAGGAGGCTGCCCCTAAACCTCTTTGGACACTTAAGTTCTGTCAGAGACCACCAAGACTAAACTCTGTAAACACCTCATAAATTACACCTGCAGAATGCCAGAGAAGGAAGAGACCTCCCTGCCTACCAGTTGAGGAAGGCTCAGCAGGAAAGCACACTTGTTTGCCTCCACAGCTGCTGACACAGATGTCTCCAGACCTTTTCTCTCATAATTCTGGCACTGGGCATCATGGAATGCTGCAGCTAACAGCTATTTTTCTGCCCAAATAGGACAAAGTTAATTTGGGGGTAAAGAACATGTATCTGCCTGGTTTTGTGAGCTGAAGCTCAATAGTTGTAACATGGGGGAAGAACAGGGCTGCCTCTCACCTGCATGCCCAGGAGGCAGTTAGCAGTGCTGCTGTAGTCACTGACCTGGCAAGAACCTGCTGCTGGTCCACAGGCAGGGCCATCCCCTCAGCAGTCACAGCCACCCCTGTGGCAGCACTCCTCCTGCTCACACCACCAGTGTCCTGGACAGCCTGAGGTGCTGCTGGGTCCTGAGGACAAGAGGAAACCAAAAGCCCCACCTCTGATAAGAGCAAGCACCAGAGCATTGGCATTACCCACTCAGGTTTATTCAACCTGGTGAGGAGAAGAAGCCTGAGGGGTACCTGGACTGATGCTAGTTCTTCACCTACTGCAGCAATAGTGTCTTTGGGCAAAGGTGGCTCATCAGGAGCAGTTTCAGTCCTTGCGGCAGCTGAAGAGTAAAAAAGGGAATACCCACAATGTCAGCAACAAGCACTGCAAAACTGAGCATAAAACCTGGGAAAACATCACACAAAGTCTTCATCAAACACTAGGAACATTGTGTCTGGAAGGAAAAGGTCTGTTATGTACCTTCTTATGCTGGTCAGTAAAAGCCATCAGGGTTTTTATATACCCAGAGGACATATCAGGGTAGAAACACAGGGGTTGGGAGAACCTGGATCCTCATGGTTGCACACAAATAACACCCTTGTATTTCAGAGGCTGGGAAGTGGAACATTTGTAATCAGATGGGGGGGGGGGGGAACCTCTCACCTTAGAGAGTGATAGCATCAAAAATGAAGGATGTATGTTCAGGAATGAATACTGGGTGGTAAGTGCTGTACAAGCACATTGCAAAGCGTGCTCTGAGGCACTGCGGATGTGTAAATGGAAAGCAGAAATGGAGAGCTGGCAGCAGTTTATAGGTATGTGAGAGGAATATCCACCCTCCAGCAGAGTGACGGTGGTGATAATTCACCAGGAGACCAAGGGCTGCATCCCATTGACATGCAATGGAACAGACTGCAGCAGCCACCCTCAGCTTGGGTGTGTGAGTTGTGCAAAGCCAATGGGATCAGGACAGAGCAGCGCCTGCCAAGACCAGTCACCCCTGCAGCTCAAACCCCTGCTCCAGAGAAACCTGCCCTCAGGCAGAGGAAACTCACAGCTACATGGGCAAAAGAAATCACATTTCATGACCTCAAGGATTACCGGCAGGGTGAGGCTAGTCCTGACAGGGAAAAGAAGTCAGAGAAGTAGGGAAGAGGACAAAGCTGGGTCAGAGTCTTATGGAGAGCGGGAGTTACCATTCCTGCTGTTGATAAGGGCAGGTTGAAAGCAGGGACTGCTGTAGCTGGGGGTGGCACTTGCTGCAGTAGCAATCGCTGCCACTTGAAAGTGGCTGGGCCAGATTTGACTTTGCAAAAGCAGCTCCTGCCTAAAGCAGGAGGGAACCCTCAGCCTGGCTCACACCCTCCACATGCACACCTGCTTCCTTCCGGAGGCTCTCCTCCAGAGCAGACAGCTTGAGATCATAGTGGGTCCTCAGGCTACTGATATCTTCCTCCAGGCGAGCACGGGATGCCTGCTCTGCTTCATAGCTGGCCTTTAGCTGGGCCAGTCTCTCGTTGTACTCCTGAAAGGCACAGCACACAGCTTGGGCACCATACACAAGGTCCCATTGAGGTCACACTCATGTTCATCCCAGTAAAACTTTCCCATCATAGATTCATTTGACTTTTTCTGTGATTTAAGGCACCACAGTAGTGATGGAAGGGGACTAATTAGCCCTAGAAACCACTGTGTTAGGCAGATGTGGTGACCTGGAAGGAGCTCTGTAAAGAGCAAGGAGCTAGTTTTATTTCCTTCTGGCCCCCAACTCCTCATTCTTCCTTCTGCACCATATCCCTTCTTTATCTTCACCCTTGTACTGTTCCTAACATCTTTGACTACTGCTTTCCTCCTCCCCATTTCTCCCTCCTCTAAGAAGAATCTAAGTTTCACTAAGTTTCACTTCAAAAATTCTTCTTGGGAATCCATTCTAATTCATCTCAGAGAGGTGGGAACAATGCTGAGAGAAAACAGCATTGTGAACAAGGCCTCCATCAGCACAAGTTCTGTCTATAGGAGAAAACCAAAATAGCATCACAGAATCCTAGAATGGTTTGGGTTGGAAGGAAACTCAAAGCTCATCCAGCTCCAACCCCTGCCATGGGCAGGGACCCCTTCCACTAGAGCAGCTTGCTCCAAGCCCCTGTGTCCAACCTGGCCTTGAACACTGCCAGGGATGGGGCAGCCACAGCTTCTCTGGGCACCCTGTGCCAGCGCCTCAGCACCCTCACAGGGAAGAGCTTGTGCCTAAGAGCTCATCTCAGTCTCCCCTCTGGCAGGTTAAAGCCATTCCCCTTGGCCTGTCCCTACAGGCCCTTGTCCAAAGCCCCTCTCCAGCTTTCTTGTCAGTCCCTTAGGAAGAAATATAGGAAGAAGTAGTATAGGAAATTCTGAAAAGGCTGAACCACACAGCCCCACACCATACTTGTAATGATTATTATAAAACTCCACAAGCCTTAGTCAAAGACACTACAGGATACCTCCTCCTGACTTACTTCTCTGATCAGCTGCTTCTCCGCTTCAAGATCTACCTGGGGTTTGAAGAGGGGAGGCGATTTCATTGCCAGGTGAGCAGTCTCAGCATGCAGAAGCCCTGCAAAGCAAAGCAGAACTAAAAATCACTCACAATTTCTGGGTGGGATTGTCTGTAGAATGTTGGAAACAGAACAAAGAACCTGGCTGCTGGCAAAGAACATCACAATCCGGGTGCTCCTTTAAACTGTGCTCATGTGCCAGCATCTGTGCTGCCAAAACACCCACTGCCCTGTGCCTCTGTAGGTGCAGGAGAGAAGGAGTCAGCACAGAGCAGAGCGGGAGAGGTGTAAGCTTTGGGTATATTAAAGTGAATATAAATCTAATCTCCTTCACAGAGTAATAGGAGAGTCTTTTCCAGGGCTATGCTAACAGGTTTGGAAGATAAGAGACAATGGCAAGGAGATGAAAGGTGCAAGGAGATTGCCTTTGTTCTTCACAGATGTTTCTGAAAGGTGGCAGAAAAGGGGAAAAAATAATCTTGCAGTCTTCTTGCTCTGCTTGAAGTTGTGCTTTTTTTTGGGGGGGGTTATTCTCAAAAGGGGATCAGCTCCCTAAGAATGCTCTAATCACTTGGCTCCCACATTTGCTACTCCTATTTTATAGCAAGGAGCATCTCTGAGGCTGGGCTGAATCCTCAGCGGGAACACAGTGATGCTGTCTGTAAGCAGCGACTAAAACTCTTGTAGCACCAAAAATTCACAGTGTAGGAGAACAGGGGCTGAGTGCTAATTTTGGAAACACAGATACATATATATACACAGATACACAGTTAATAGAGAATTTTACATTGCTATTTCTTTTACAGCTCTTTTTTGCTCTGCCAGCTGAAATCTCTTCTCTTACTAACCAAATTCAATCCAGAATGAATGACCAAGGAGAATCAAGGATTTGAATCATGTCATCTTCTAACAGAATCAGTCATTATTGAAAATAGTGGATAATTGAGATGTTTTTTACCAGTGGAATGAGGTCGATTTGGCAACAGTGGAGGAAAAGTCCATTACCAGAATGAAGAACTCTTCCTCCAACAGGTAAGGGAAGGGTTGAGGTGAAATCCAGTGAGCATTTTAATGTAAACCACTTTTTCCTGACAAAGATAAAACATCTCTGCAGCCACTAGGGGCTCTCCTACCTGCCAAGTTACTCACGCCCATCTGTTCAGCTAGAATGGCCTTCAGTTTCTTAATCTCCTCCTGATACTCCCTCAGCAGAGTATCCTTGGGGTCCTCATTGACACAGGGCTTGTTCTTGATGTTTTTGGCTCGATTAGCATAGAGCAATGTACTGAGGCTCTCATCATAGTTGTTCTCAGCTGGCGATAAGCACGCAACCATCAGAGTCCTGGTGTTCCCCCCAAGGGAGTCCTGCAGCAGCCTGGTCAGCTTGGAGTCTCGGTAGGGGACATGCTTACACTTGCCATCAACCAGGGCTGAGATGACGTTGCCCAGAGCTGAGAGGGAGAGGTTGATTTTGATGGCCTCTTTGAGCCGCTCCCCCACAGCTCGAGTTTTTGACTGTCTCTCGCTTCCTGCCAGATCCACTAAACTGAGTTTTGCAGCCCTGAGGTGGTCCAGCCCTTGCTCATCTGCGAGAGAACAATTCCAGATTAGGCTCTTCTTAAGAGGAAGCATCTTACCATCTTTTAGTGCTTCCTTGAACAAGATCTTGCAGAGTAAAAATTCACGCCCATTTTTACTCACCCAGCAAGTTCTGAACACACACACACCCCCCCTTCACATATTTCTACAGTGTTTAGAATTCTACACAGGTAACAAGGTCAGACCATGAATGCAAGAAATTGGGACTGTGCTCAGCCCAAACCACCTGGATGAGGAGACGGATCTCAGTGAGTGAGGAGACAGGCCCAGTGAGCTGATGCCATTCCCATCATAATGTTTTAAGGCAAGAAAAGACATGAGCTGAAGTTACAGCTGGCTCCCCAGCTACTTAAGTGCACACCTTACAAGTATATCATGCTTCCTGCCTTGTATTTTGAGGCTGGAATTATGTGTTGACACAAATTCCCTGTGATGTGCGTCCAGTCGCTTTAGGAAGTCCTCAGTTTCACTGGCTAACTTAACTTGCCCAGCCTCATGCAGAGCAAAGAGTTGGACACACATTCCCAGATCCCAGACTACTGTTTTAAGCCCTGGACCACACTCTTGGGTGTCCATATCCCAACCATTCCTTAGATTGCTGCTTAAATTCAAGGGAAGAGCTCCCTTAGTCATCCAAGCAGAGAAAGCATCAAGGTTTTAACCAAGACCACCCTTTTCTGGACAGACTTTACAAATCCCAGCCTTGAATTGAGTCAGAGTTAAGATTTATGGCTGTGGACAATACCTAAACTTGAGCAATGAATAATCTGATGCATGAGGGAAAAAGTTCACAGGTAAACACCACCCCACCCCCCCCCCCAAAAAGACCCCTACATTTTATTGCCACAGGGTATTTCCCCGCTTACAGCAACAGAATGCTAACTGTGTGACCTAACATTTGCCACCAAACAAACTTGTTTCATTCCAGATCTTTCTGGTGTGTCAAGACATGAGAGGACAGGAAAAAAAACAGATGGAGCTGAAACAGAGCACCTCTCACTATCTCTTCTGAGTGGCCAATCACAAAAAGAGTTTCTGACCCTTTCCCTCCTTCCCCCAGTTTATGTTATCACTGAGAGGCAATTAAAAAGAAGGTTTGGTTCCTGCCCGTCCTTTGCCCATGGTGACTGTTTCAGTGTTGGAGCTCAGTGTGTTGGTTTCCATGGTGTGACAAGGTCCCCAGGCTCTTGCTAAATGTCTGCAGCAGCCTCAAAGTCTTGTCTCATACTCACACAGCCCACTGCACAAGCACTGGCTATCATCCTCATTAACAAATGAATCCTTAAGCACAAGGTAAAGGAATCAAACATCTGCTACTCTTAACTGCAGCAAAAATACTGATGGTAACTTGCACATCTCAAACATCTGCAGCCAGAGAGCCTGGTATTTGCCATCATTCCTGAATGTGGTACTTTAAAAATGAGTAATTTTAGTCCACATCACTGCAAAGAGATCCTTTAAAGCAGCAGCTCCCTCTAAATTACCATTTACTATAGGTTTAACTGGGAAATAGGTTTGAACTACTCTGTGCACCTCTTCAAGAAGCCTAAAGATGACAACAAAACCACCAATTTCATTAGCTGTTTCAACTAATGATGACACAAACAGAAGTTACAGGAGTTGTGCCTGACCCCACAACTTTCTCCTCAGATATTCCAGCTGTCTCCTATTTAACTGCCAAACCAGCAAGTTTCCCACCTGCCATCCTGTTCCATGTAACAAGTTTTCAAAGCTTTAAATCAGAGAAATTCAAGCTAGATTAGGAGCCCTGCACCAATCTGGGACACAAGAGTGTAAATGTTTCTTTTTCCTTGTTAGGATTAAAGTTGGGATTTTATGGACCCACATAGTGCAGGGATTAGCATCCACTGGCTGTGCTAATTGAGAAATTCTATCCCCCCCCTCCCATATTGTGGGTAGAGGAAAATGAGGTCTTGTCACCAACATCTGGAACCACAATTTAGGAAGACATTGTGTAACTTTCCCATGACTGAAACAGCTGAAGAAAACGAAGCCAAATTGTTTGCAGCCTTGGTGAGGTCAAGAGAGAATATAGGAGACTAAATCCTTTCTTAGTCCCAGAAAAAAAACCTTTTGATGTCTGTGTTCAGACCAAGCAAGGCAGCTTTATCAGCTAAAGAACTGTCAATGGAAATGAGATACTTGAGAAAAGAAAATTATTCACTAAAACATCATGAAGGGATTCTTTTATTCTGTCTTTAAAAGATAAGCCCTATGATTAAGCTCAGTGGAGGAACTGTTGCATGAAATGATATGACTTGCATTGCAAAGGAGGGCAGACCAGACAGGTAATGACGGAAGTTTCTCCAGTCACTGTATGGGCTGTGAGATTTAGCCCCCTTCACTGGAGAAAAAGGTTGAAGAAGATAAAGGAATGGAAAGAGAATTAAATCTGTTCCCAGTTTGAGTGTAAGACATTTCACTCCCAAGGGGGAATCGAGGAAAAGAAAAAGACTTTGGCTACTCAGCCATTTCACACTGTGAAGAATGTCCACACCAGGGCACAATTCTGATGTCTACCAGACCTCAGATCTTTTAGGCTCCCAGTTTAGCTGCAGGGTGTCTGGTCAGACCACACAGATTCTGTGCTCTGCCAGGCCCAGGCCTACCACAGCACATCCAGCTACCTACCTACGGTGCAGATCTCCATATTGACAGTGAAGATGGCGTGGGACCGGGATGAGTCCTTATTCATGAGGGTGTAACCCACTGCACGGTTGCTGCAGCCTTTCTCCATGAGCTGCTCACACTGTACCACACTGTGCACAGTGTGCAGAGAGAGCCCCTTCACATACACCCCCTTCTCTGGGTGCTCTTTCAGCTGGAAACAGAGGAAACACAAGACAGGTTAGAACAAGACATACTGAGACTGCAGGAAGTCATGCTGGGAACTGGAAGCTCGAGGGCTATGGGAGTTTTGCCTTTCAAGTTAAACAATGCCAAGGCAAAACAGTATCTGACCGCCACTAAAAAGCTGTAGTATTTCCGAAGAAGGAATAAAACCAGACAAAAATAAGGAACCTGTTTCATGGCTCTGCAGGGAAAAAGAATTAAAGTTTGCTGATTGATTCAGACATCTCCTGCCAGGCCATGAGAAACTCAGGTTCTCTGTGCTGAGCCGCCTTCTGCCTCCCCTGTTATTAAGCTGTGCATTTGAAAAGAGAACTGAAATGTTTTTCACCCATTACGGCAAAGGCTCCAGTATCTCTTCACTCATAGGGAGCTTTTGTTAAAAGCAAAGCACAGATTCAGCAGTCACAGACACTGTCACTGGTGCTGTGCTGAACCCCTCCGCTCTGAGAGGGCGGCTTGATCCCTCTGACAAAACTCCCGAAGTCACACCCAGCACTCTCAGGATTTTTCTCCAGATAAGTTCATTCTTAAGATGCTCTAAAACCCTATTGAGGCACCCAGGTGGAAACAGAGCGGTAAATACCAAAGAGCAGCTTTTCAGCAATTATCAATCATGCAGAAGAAAAACTTCATCCTGCATCCAATAAATGACTAAATGTTCCAAATCTTGACTGACCCATCAAACCTACATAAAACTCCCAAAACAATTGAGATCCTGCACGCCCCCCTCCACACTCTGAATTTAAAGGAGCTGGATTCATTTTCAATAGCTACATTACACCCCACATCTGCTGAGTTCATAACCAAAAGTCTATTTTTATGGTGGCAGCTGCGATATGATTGTCATGACTTGGTGTCAGAGAGTGATAGATGCTACATTTGGCAGTGTGACTCCCAGAGAAGAGCCCCAGATACCTGAGTGATGCACTTGCCACAAAAAGCTAAAAAGTTAAGTTTTAACAAAAGTTAAAAACTCTGTACAGAACTGAGTGGAAGTGGCTGGAAACTAAACCAGGCAGGATTTTAGCCTTGTTTCAAAGTTGTGGCTAGCCAGAATGAGCCCAGATACAGAATCACAGTGTTCACACACACACTGTGACTTTTGCCTGTGCTATAGGAGAACCCTGTGGCTGGCCCAGCTGTATTTGAGGATGCTGCAGAGTCCCTGAGGAGCAGGCAACAGAGGACACGGCTGTTTCATTCCACCACAGATTAACAGGGGCATTTCCTTACAGAGCTCTGTAAAACTTACTCTTCACATGGTTTCATACCACAGGAGGTGACTGTGGGCTTCAGAATCATCAGTCATTGATGTTAAAAGGCAAGAGCAATCAGAAATGGAACTCTGGAGGAGAATTGTGAGACACAGGAAATCCCAAACACAACTACAGGCTGGGCAGAGACTGGATGGAGAGCAGCCCTGAGGAGAAGGATGGTGGTTGGTGAGAGGCTCCTCATGACCTGGCTTCAGTGGGGACTTGAGTCCAGAACTCCCCCGTGTGCTGGGCTGCACCCCCAGAGCGTGAGCAGCAGCTCAGGGAGGGGATCCTGCCCCTCTGCTGTGCTCTGGGGAGACCCCCCCTGCAGCCCTGATCCAGCTCTGGGGCAGCAGCACAAGAGGTACATGGAGCTGTTGGAGCGAGGCCAGAGGAGGCCATGGAGATGCTGCGAGGGCTGGAGCAGCTCTGCTCTGGAGCCAGGCTGAGAGAGCTGGGCTGGGGCTCCTGAAGGGGAGACCTTAGAGCAGCTCCAGTGCCTGAAGGGGCTGCAGGAAACCTGGAGAGGGGCTTTGGACAAGGGCCTGTAGGGACAGGCCAAGGAGAATGGCTTTAACCTGCCAGAGGGGAGATTGAGATGAGCTCTTAGGCAGAAGCTCTTCCCTGTGAGGGTGCTGAGGCGCTGGCACAGGGTGCCCAGAGAAGCTGTGGCTGCCCCATCCCTGGCAGTGTTCAAGGCCAGGCTGGACACAGGGGCTTGGAGCAAGCTGCTCTAGTGGAAGGGGTCCCTGCCTGTGGCAGGGGGTTGGAACTAGAGGAGCTTTGAAGTCATTCCCAACCCAAACCACTCGGTTATTCTCCGATTAATTCTATGATACAGTGACACAGAAGAAAGTACTGGGTCAGTCTGGCTTTTCTTTCTCCACAGGACACAAGTCCCCTAATTACTGGGTGGAGGCAGCAACAGGCAGCTGCTGTTACCAGTGGGATGGTGTTACCCTGGCAACTGCTCTGCCCAACTCCTGCCCTCCCAGTGCCAACTGCAGTCGTCATAGAAACTGGTGTCACTGCTGATGTGGAACAAGAGCTGGGAAACTGCAGCAAGCGCCTTCTGAACCATTCAGTCCCCTTCTCCCACCCTGCCTTCTACATGCACAGGCCGAGCACACTTGAGGGGTTTGCCTCCTTTAAAGCCATGGTAAAACAATAGATCTGCCCCGGAAGGTGGGTCTGTCACCATCTCCTGTGCAGAAGATGGTGCTAGTGCCTCGGGTTTCTTCACCCGGGCAGTCCTGCAGGGAAGGAAATTGGACAGGAGATCTGCAGCTCCCACCAGGAATGCATGCAGAAAGATCTGCAAAGCCACTAAGAAGGAAAAATCAGCCCCTGCTTGGGATTTCAGGACTGTTTTCCTTCCTGTGCTCCTGGAAACAGCCTGCCTTCCCCATATGTGCCCATGGGGAACAATGTCTGCTGCATCTCCTCAAAGAAGGATCAGCCTTTTTTGTTTTAGACAGATGAGATCATTCACAGCTACACTACATCAGATTTGTATGGCACAGAATCCTCCTGCTTTAGATACAGCTATGAGAGGAAGAGATTAGGAAGAAATTGCCCCATCAGTACTTTATTCCATCCTTGTCCAGTAATGACTTTCACACTAAGCTATCAGCCACTATCCAGTTGGACACATGGGACATGTCTGACCGGATCCTGTTCCTCCTGCCACTGAACCTTCACTAAAGTCCCTCAAAATCTCCTCTTGGCTTTCATATTCATCACTATGATTTCATAGTCTGGCATTCAGCTTCTGACAGAGCATATTATTGCACTTCTGTGAGACATTCATGATAACACTTATCTGAAGAAATTAAAGCACTTCCTAACTAAGACAAACTGACTCCGCCTCACCTCCAGCTTCTGCTTGGTATCAGCTCCTAGTAGGTCTCGTATGTCTTCATTGTAAATCTCCAGGTAGGAAACTCTCACTAAGAACTTGGTATTTTCAGCACACTGCACCAAAGAGGAAGGATTTTCAGGTGAGGTTCTCCAAATGGAGGCAAGCAGGCAGCCCACGTTGCCCCTCAGCTCCAGCTGGGTGCCTTCAGCACTTCATCAAATCACTGCTGGCATTTCATTCCCAGGTGTAACCACTCCACACACACACTATAGGGACTTTTGGTCCTTAAACAGCTCAAGTGGGAACCCATGAAGTCACAGAGATGAGGGTGCAGCTTATCTGACTATATAGGAGCCTCAGCTTTAGGAGAGGCAGCATACCCCAAAGCCTGGCCCCATTCTTGCTGCTGAGTGCAATCAGCACTCGCTCCTCAGGGTATGACACAAGAAACATCTTTCTAGCTATCATGCCATCTTACAACAGGACCTCTTTCATGTTGTTACCTACCTGCACACTCTCAAAAATGTGTTCAAATGCCCTGGGAATTATGCCTTTCTGTGCAGAAGGCTCCACAACTCCCTGCATGGTGAATGACTTCCCACTGCCAGTCTGGCCATAGGCAAATATGGTGCCATTGTAGCCTTCGGTGACACCCTGGAAATGGAGGACAATCAAACAGAAAAGCCATTATCTTCACCCTTTAGTAACTGGAAATGCACTGTCCAGATTCAATTCCCACCTCAAAAAAGGTATTTTAGGGGAAAAGCTGGCAATAAACATTGAACAACTACTTGGTCTTCACATGTCATCAAAGTATAACAACTAAATAACACATTCTGCTAGCTTATAAATGGAAAACCTGCAGAAATGCAGGTGTTGAAAAGTGGAAGGGCAGTTGACAACACTTAGAATAGCAGAGTATTTTTGTCATAGGGCAGAAAAGTCTTGTGAAAACCAGAGACACAAATGGAATGCCAGAATAGGGTGGCCAAAGGGATGCTCTCTAGCTTAGAGCTGTTTTCTCTTGGAGAGCTGGCTGAAAGAAAGCCTCACCTTCACTTGTTCCTATTTCAGAGAAGCATGGGAGGAACCTTAGACATTTGGATTTCTTAAGGTTTAAATAAGAACCCCCCCAACTATTACTCTAATAACATACTGTTTCAGACCCTGCTTGTTCCCATGATCAGGAACTTCCATCTTAATACCATTAGCCATTTCATCCCTTCTCCTAACAAAACTGGATTCTCTGGGGGGATGTTGGGCTTTTTACCCCTTAACCGGTTCCTTCCTCACCCTGGCTGCTTGCCATGCAGCAAATGGATCCCCTCTCATTTTACTACTCTAAACCAGGCTGAGGTTGCCTGTCTTCAGTGAAAATATCCCTAAAGCCATCAGGACGATCGTTTATTCCCTTCTTCCCACATCACCTTCAACTGCAGTTTCTAGCCAGCCACCATCTCTAGGGACTGCTCAGGGGGTTCATCTTTCATATAAACATCCGCCTAAAACACTTTAATGTAATTCTGTCCTCAGTGCCCCTCTGGCTGCTGAAAAAGTTGTTTTCCTTCCCAATTTCCCAGCCCACTGCTGGGACGCTGTTTTGTCCACCCGAGGGTTGCAGCTAAGCCTTTTGAAGCAGGAAACAGGGCTGTTTCTGTCCATAAATCATGCCAGCTGGGGGTCACCTATCAATGTGAAACTCCTCAGCCCATGTCCCGAGCTATGTGTTCATAGAATCGCAGAATCAACCAGATTGCAAAAGACCTTTAAGCTCATCAGTTCCAACTGTTCCTCAGCACTGCCAAGGCCTCATCTACCCGGTATGTGAACACTTCCAGGGACGGTGACTGCAGCACTGCCCTGGGCAGCCTGTTCCTGTTGCCTGTGTCCCTGTGTGCATGGCTTGCTTCAGGCACCACTCACCTCCACGAGCGGGTAGGCAATCTCATTGTAGATCTGCTCCGTGCTGTGCTCCTGGCAGTACGCCCCATCGAAGGTGAACTGCTTGGGGGGCTCACCGGCAGCAGCAGGGTTCTGGAGGAAGCACTGGCCCCGGGTGCTCTCCATGCTCACAACCGCCTTGCAGCCAAGAGCTCTCTCACGCACGTTCATGGGCCGGCAGCGCACGATCACCTTCACCGCCTCCGAGGCCATTCAAGTCCTGGCCCGGCTCAACCCCACACGCACTCACTTGAGGGGCCTGGGAGGGCCTAACCCCGAGGCCTGCACCCCCGCGTGGGGGGCAGCGCTCACCAGGTACTGGGGGCACTGAGGGGATGGAGCCCCCCACAGCTCGGCATGGGGAAGGAGAGGCAAGGAGGGCTGGGCGAGAAGGGGAGGCTGCAGAGGAGGAAAGCTGGGGAGGGTGAAGGGGAGACTCGGAACTAGCCTGAAAGGCAGCTATGGCAGGCGGGGGGGGGAGGCTTGGGGGGGGGCAGCCTGAGGTAACTGTGGGGAACCCCGACGGGGACTGGGCGAGGCAAAACCTGCGGTGAGCCTGGAAGCGTCAGGCGCCTGCAGGCGTCAGGAGGCAAAGCCTGAGGGAGCCGAGGGGAACCCGAGGCGGGCCGGGGCGTGCGGAAGGAGCCGGGCAGCGGAACCAGGCCCGGCTCTGAGGGGACGAGGCGGGAACGCGGCCGGACACAACGCGCATGCGCGCAGCGACCCCACGCGGTTGCCACAGCGACCGGGGGAGTTGGGGGGGGGAAGACGGCAGCGCGGCGCGAGGCCACGTGACTGCGGGCGCGCGTGCCCGTGCGCGTGCAAGCGCGGGGGGGGCACGAGAGGGCAAATGCACGTGTGCAATGTGTGAGTGCAAGTGCAAGGGTGTCCGAGTGCGGCTGTAGCCATGCGTGAGCGTGCAAGAGCACAGGGACCTGAGCGTGCAAGCACCTGGGAGTGCAAGTGCACGGGTGTCTGAGTGCGGCTGTAGCAGTGGGTGAGCGTGCAAGTGCATGAGAGGGCAAGTGCATGGGTGTCTGAGTGCAGCTGTAGCAGTGGGTGAGCGTGCAAGCACCTGGGAGTGCAAGTGCAAGGGTGTCTGAGTGCGGCTGTAGCAATGCGTGAGCGTGCAAGAGCACAGGGACCTGAGCGTGCAAGTGCATGAGAGGGCAAATGTACAAGTGCAAGAGTGTCCAAGTGCGGCTGTAGCCATGCGTGAGCGTGGAAGAGCACAAGAGGGCAAATGCACGAGTGGAAGTGTGTGAGTGCAAGTGCATGGGTGTCTGAGTGCGGCTGTAGCAGTGGGTGAGCGTGCAAGAGCAAAGGGACCTGAGCGTGCAAGCACCTGGGAGTGCAAGTGCATGAGTGTCTGAGTGCGGCTGTAGCAGTGGGTGAGCGTGCAAGAGCAAAGGGGCCTGAGCGTGCAAGTGCATGAGAGGGCAAATGCACGACTGCAAGTGCACAGGTGTCCGAGTGCGGCTGTAGCCATGTGTGAGCGTGGAAGAACACGAGAGGGCAATTGCACGAGTGGAAGTGTGCGAGTGCAAGTGCACGGGTGTCTGAGTGCGGCTGTAGCCATGCGTGAGCGTGCAAGAGCACGAGGGCCTGAGCGTGCAAGCACAATCACACAGTGCAGGTGTGCGTGCAAGCGTGAGCGCATGGCGCAGTTCTGCCAGCGTGCGCGGGCACCAGGGCACACGTGCACGGGCCTGTAAGTGCCCGAGTGTGAGTTCACGAGGGTGCGTGAGCGCTCACCGCGGTGGGAAGAACAGACCCGCAGCACGACAGCCATTTATTGCCAGCGCACGCAGCCGCGGGAGGGGGCAGATAAGGCAGACGGCAGCGGTTTAAAGCTCAATGGGGATTGTCGGGGGGCCGGTGCCCTGGGGGGGGGGTGCCTGAGCTTAACCCCGCTCATGCTGCGCCCCGACGGGGCCGCTGGGGGCCCAGGCAGTGTCCCCCCAAGCGCTGGCCCCGCCACCGGGGTCCCGCTCCTCGTAGCCGGGGTTGCGGCGGCCAGGGGCCAGGCGACAGAAGCATCCGCCCGGTGCGGCGGAGTAGTGAGCCAGGAGCGCGGCCACGCTGGGGAACTCGGTGTTGGAGTGCTGCCGTGGGGGAGACCGGAGAGGTGAGACCCTGCGGTGCCCGTGCACTGTGCACCCCTGCACCAAATACCAGTGTCCCCAAATGCACCCGCAAACCCCACCAATGCATGAGGATCAAATACACCCATGCATCCACTGCACCCACGTGCTATACTGATGTACCTGTGCACTGATGTACCCACGAATCAAAGGCACCCATGACCCGTGCACCCAGGAATGAAACACACACCAATGCATCTGTGTAGCACATAAACATGCATGGATGCACTTGCGCACCCATAAATCAATTGTATTTACACATCAAAGCATGGAAGCACCCATGCACCCACACCCATTGGTACCCACGTGCCATGCACTGAGGCACCCATACACTGTTCCCCCTACTTATCAATGCACCCATACACCAATACAGCTGTGCACAGATGCATCAGATCCACTTACACAGTGAAGTAAACACACTAATGCACCCATGCAATAATGCACAGATGCATTAAATGTACTTACACAGTGATGCAAGCCCACAAATTCACCAGTGCATCCATGCACCAATGCACAGACACATCCAATGCACTAACCCTGGGCATTAAACACAAAAACGCACCAATGCATCCATGCACTGATGCATTAAATTCCCTTACACAGTGAAATAAACCCACAAATGCACCAATGCGTCGAATGCACTTACACCAAAGTGCATCCATGCACAAACACATCAAACACCCTTACCGGGTGCAACTGTCGCACCCCTGCAACCCCAACACGAACACCCCAAGCACCCCCATGTGCTGGCCATGCACCGCCCTCACCTCCACACAGAACCTGCCCTGGTGCGTCCTGACGAGGCCGTAGGTGACGATGCCGCAGGGCGCCCGCACCCACAGGCACCAACGCTTGGCCAGCCCGGGCTCGGGGCGCAGCAGGAAGGCGCCGGGCACATCGCGGCGCAGCAGCGCGATCCCGCTGTCCCTACGGATGGGACGAGGCGGAGGGTGGGTGTGAAGGGGAGGGATTGGGAAGGGATGGGGATGAGCGGGGGGGTCCTGCGCACCCACCTGGAGATGCCGGCGAAGCCCCACATGCTCTCAGCAAGGATGCTCTCGTTTTCAGGGAGGAAGGCAAAGCTCCTTGCCCCTTTGCTCTCCCATCCTGCTGGTGCTGTGGGAGCCCATTAATCCCCTCGTCACCCAGAACACCCCATGATGCTAGGGTTGTGTGTGCCCCCCGTGCCTCAGTTTCCCCCCCCCGGCACTCACCAGTGTCACGGGGTGGCTGATGGAGCTGGCTCTCAGCCCCACAGTCCCGGTAAGCCCCCGAGCGCAGCACCTTGCTGCGGATGGCTTTCTTGCGCACCAGCACTGGGGAGCAGTAGGGGTTCCCAGGGCGCCAGGCTCTGCCCTCCGCCTGTCGGTCCTGGGGGGTGAAGGGGCTGTCAGAGGGGTGATGGAGGGGGGGGTGGGTGTCTCGCAGTGTGAAACGTCACACGAAACTCCATGGAGAAAAACGCTGGACCAAAAACGGCACACCAGAAATGACACCCTGAAAATGACTCCTAACAGTGACACCTAAAAATGACACCCTGAAAATGACTTCTAAAAATAACACCCCAAAATGGGCATCCTGAAAATTACACCCTAAAAATTACACCCCGAAAATGACTCTTAACAATGACATCCTGAAAATGACTCCTAAAGATAACACCCCAAAAATGACACCCTGAAAATGACACCCCAAAAATGACACCCTGAAAATGATTCCTAACAATGACACCTTGAAAATTACTCCTAAAAATTACACCTCAAAAATGGCACCCCGAAAATGACGCCCTAAAAATTACTCCTAAAAATAACACTCCCAAAATGACATCTAAAAATGACACCCTGAAAGTGCTACACCAGAAATTGCACCCAAAAAATGTCACCTCAAAAGTGCTACACCAGAATTGACACCCCAAAAACTACACTTTAAAAATGACACCCTGAAAATGCCACACCAGAACTGTCACCCTAAAAAGATGCCGTGCGAGACCTCATGACCAAAAAACCCTATGCAAGGAATGCTGTGCTAAACACCACCACCACCAATGCTGTGCACAAGCCCACCCTGTAGGCCATGCTGAGCGAGAAAATGCCCTGCAAAAAGACACTGCACAAAAAAATGCTGCACAAGAAATGCCCTGCGATCACCCATGTAAGGAATGCCCTGCAGCAAAACACGCTGCGAAGAGCACCCCGCTGAAACCACTGCAATAAATCACCTGCAGAACTGCTCTGCAAAAATCACCGTGCCAAGAAAGCCGTGTAAGAAGATGCCGTGCAACAGATGCTCTGTCGGAGACGTCACACAAAGAGATGCTATGAAAAACACCCTGCAGAAGCACTGTGCAAAAACCTCCTGGTCCAAAACGCTGTGAGAAAAGGCCATGCAAGACAAAAACATGCAGAAGGCTGCCCCGCAAAAAGGCTGTTAGAAATGGGCTGTGCAGGGGGGGGTGTGTAAACACGTGCCGTGCAAGGACAGGTTGTGCAAAACGCTGTGTGTACCCCACTGTGCAAGGGGGACGTGTGAGGAGAGGCCCTGTGAACCACCACGAGAACCAGGCTGTGCATTAATGCGCCATGAAAGCTGCTGCGCGAGAGAAGGCTGCGCAGGAACCGAAGCAGACTGCAGCGTGACGAACGCCCCGCACAAAGTGCCGTGCACGTCTTGCCGTGACAGAAACTGCACAAAGAAAAGGCTGGGAGAGAAGAGCCACGCGAAGAGCAGGCAAAACCGTGCTAAAACCACGCCGTGGAGGGAAAGGCCCTGCAGACACCGCATGTGTGAGCCCCCCACCACCTACCCCTGCGCCCATGGAGCCGAGCGCGGGCAGGCGTCGGAAGGACACGAGAGCGTTGACGTTGCGCGACACCTCCTCGGGGTTGAGCGGCTCCCGCAGCACCCCCGGCCCCGTGGGCTCCCCATCGGGCGCCTGCTCCTCGGGGTGAGCCAGGAGGTAGCAGAGCTGGAAGCAGCGGCAGAGCAGGAGATGCAGGGTCTGGACCTGCGGAGGCAGAAGATGCCGGGTGTTAACCCAATAGAAGCAAGAACGAGCTGTAACAAGAGGAGTTTATTTTGGGGGTGCCGGGACACTCACCTCACCCGGGAGCCCCACGAAGAGGTGGCAGAAGAGGGGGCTGCCGGGGCTGCGGGGGTTGCGGGCCACGAAGGCGAACTGGCGGTCGGCGCGTCGCCACGTGCTGTACAGGATCCGGCGCAGCGCATGCGCCATCAGCAGCGTCTGTGGGGACAAGGACAAGGTGGGGGTCATTGAACCAAGCACACCCCGCCCCCCGGCACCCTGGGGTGCAAGTGATCCTGAGGGCACCGCTACGGCACTGCAGGTTGCAGCGCTATTTGTGAATGCAGAGCAGGCTCCCAAGAGGAAAGTGATGCTCAGAGAGGTGCAACCTCCCCGCAAAGCAGCTTTCCAGCATCACTGAGCTCCCCCAGCACCCATGACCCCCCCAGGACCCATGGGCTCCCCAGCACCCCCAAGTTCCCCCAACACCCCTGAGCACCTCAGCATCCCTACCTCACCATCAGCACTGTAGACTTTCACCCCCTGCAAGCTGAACCTCAGCACCACCAATCTCCTCCTGGGGCAGTCCTGGCCAGGAGAGACACAGCGCTGGGGGGGATCTGGGCTATGTCACCACAGGGTCCCCCCACTATTGGGGGTCCCCCTGTTTTCCCAGTGTGGGGAGCAGTGGTGGGTGCCCGACCTTCAGTGCCTGCAGCTGCTCCTCCAGCTGCCCTGCTCGCTGCTCCAGGTCCAAGTCCTCCACCACAAAGGAGCCCACGTACTGAGGGGAACCAAAACCAACCCATGTCAGCAACACACCCCCCCATGCTGCTGCAGTTGCTTCACCCCAGGGCAATCAGCCCACCCTGAGGGGATGGACTGGGGACAGACCCACTCCCAAACCCCATCTTGGGGTGTCCTGGCCCCCCTCCTGTGGGTAACTCACCTCTGCTGACTTGGTGATGCCCCGGGCTCGCTGCTGGGGGGCTGCAGGATCCGGCCCCCTCCCATTGGCCGCCTTCTTCTTCATGGCAGTGGGGTTTGGGGGGGGCGAAGGCTGGATCAGGATGGGGTTAAGCAGCTCCAGTGCTGCATCCGAGTTATCTGGAGCCAGCCAGGGTGGTGCAGGAGCTCAGATCTGACCCCCCGGTCACAGTCCCTGCGAGAAGGGAGGGGACAGACACAACCTGCCCCCACTGTCCCCCCATTTCAGGCCCAGTGAGCCTCAGGAGATGCTGCAGTCTCATACGGTGGCCCCCAATCCCCAGTGCAGGTGAGCCCGAGTCCTGGCCCTGACACAAGAGTCCCTCCACACCAACCCCAATAAAAAGGTCCCCAAATCCTGGTCCTAACCCTAACGGGAGGGCCCCTGCACCCCAAACCCAATGCAGGGGTCTCCATGTCCTCGTCCCAAGCAGCACGTTGGGGTCCCCACGTTCCAGCCCCCATGCAAGGGCCCCCTGTGACCCCAAGTGCGTGTAAGGTTCTGCACAGCGTGACCCCAACCCCAGCATGAAGGTCCCTGTGTCCCCACACTGAATCAAGGATCCCAGCATCCCGACCCTAAGCACAATGTGAGGGTCCCATGTCCTGCCCCTGAGCACTGTGTGAAGGTCCCACATCCCAACCCTGTGCAGGATGCAGATGGTCCCCATGTCCTGACCCTAGCGTGATGTGAGGGTCCCCAGATCCCAACCCCAAAGGTGACACATATGGTCCCTGCATCCTGGTCCCAATTGAAACCAATGTGATCCTGAGCAAACAGTCCAGACCCCAAGCAAGGGGCATGCAGTCCCACAGCCCAAACTCCAGAGAGATTCTGGGGTCTCTCCCATTCCCCCCTCCCTCCAATCGCACTGGCCACCCAGCACCAAGACCCCATGGCTATCCTTCAGGGGTGATCCCCAAAACACCAGCATGGGGGCAGCAGGTTTGGGGGGGCTTTTACAGCCAAGATGCCCACCCAAGGGTGCTCCCGGCCCCTCTCCAGCCACCCAAGGGGGTTTTGCCCTCTGCAGCCCTTGGACAGGCTGAGACCAGGCACAACTCGTGTCACTGAGACCGCACTGCAGCCTCCTGGGTGCAAGCACAGGGGAAAGGGGGGGGGAATCCGGCAGCCGAAAGGCATCCTAAGGGGGTGCGGGGTCCGTATGGTGCCCTCATCCCCTTTGCAAGCTCAAGTTTACCCCTCTCCTTCGGGCACAATCTGGGGGGTCTCTCCCCTCTCCCCCCAGCCAATCCGCAGGCAGGCAGCCCCCAAGCCCCGCCCCCTTTTTCCCACTCTTCATTTCTCAATGAGCCCCCAACCCACCCTGGTGGACCCCAGGGGAGGGATGTGGTCCCCATCGGGAGGGATGCTGACCCCCAGATTTAGTGGTGGTGATGGGGGGTGACACCCAAACCCCGAGCATCCCCAGAGCCCCCCATCCCCTGTGCCCCCTTCCCCGGCTCACGGGCTCTGTCGGATGGCTCCGGAGAAACGCAGGCAGGAAAATCCACTTGGCTCCAGCTCTCGGCCTCCGCCGGTTCTTTCCCTTCTTCCCTGTGGCTCCTCGGCAGCTCCCTCCGTGGCGCAGGGATGCTCGACCCGTTGGCGTCAGGCCCTCGCCGCCAGCCAGGCCCCGGTGAGCCCGAGCCCGCAGCGGGCACGGGGCAGGCAGCGAACTCCCATTTCCTGCCTCCGATCTGCCCACGATGAATCACTGCAATTTTACCTCCCCGGCTCTCTCCGTCTCTTGGAAGCAGCAGCAGCAGCGCTCGGGCTCTTCGGAAGACGCGGCTGCATTGGATTCCTTTCCCTCTCTCCTGTTTTCTCTCCTCTCCTCCTGCGTGCCCAGCCAGAAGTGATTTCTAACCCCACCACGCACACACGTGGTCGCTGCTCGCCTCCCCCTGCCCTGATGCTCAGACCCTTTTCACCCCGGTTGCTGAATTCCCATGGGAATTTTGCTCACCACGGTCTGCTCGTGCTGGGAATAAAGAGGGATGGCTCTGACCTCACTGCAAACGCAGAGCCTCAGGTGCCCAAAATCCTCCAGCTGCCTGAGGGCAAAGCTGTTCCCAGCCTCAGGGATGTGCTTGGCTCCTGGAAAGGGAAAGCAACAGTCTGGGGAGCAGACGGGGTCTGACGCCTCAGGGTGCACCCCAAAATCCCCTTCTCGCTCCCTGAGGATGCGAAAGGGCTCCAAAGAGCAGTGTTCCAACCTTGGGCCGCCGCCAGCGCTGGCTGCTTGGAGATGCTGTGAGATGCCCCAGCAGAACTCGCAGAGAAACAACGGAAAAATGGAACAAGGAGGACAGATGGGGCTGAGGAATAACATATCGGAGCCCAGGCTGGCCAGGAAGCGGAGATGGAGAAGAGCTCCACCGGCAACGCTGCCACGGGATGATGATTTTCCTGTTCAATCCCACTTGCTGCTCTCAGGAGACAAGGATTGGTCCTTGGGATTAAACACAACCAGAGCCACAGCTCTTGTTTTGGCTCAGTGCACAGAAACCACTTAATTAGCAATTAAAACCCCAGCCAAAGAGTTTGGGGGTGACCAAGGGAGCCGATGGCTGTTTTCAGCACAGGGCTCTAATTCAAGGTGCCTCGCAGCAAAACTGAGCCACAGCCACGTGTGGAACATCAGTGTTATCCAGACCAGTGTTTTGCCCATGGGGTGGTCGGTGTGGGAATGCTGGGATGAGGGAGGTCACAAACTGCCCTACAGCTGGGGCAGGGCTCAGTGCCCCTGTAAATACGTGTCCTTGAGTGAAGCAGTTCCTCAAACTTGGCTCCTTGAAGTGTCAAACCCCCGTACAAGCAGCCCTTAGAGCGAGCCATGAACTAATGCTTCCTATTGCTTTGCATCCCTGTGGATCACTCTTTGACCAGGGCTTTCACCCTCCCAGTTTCCATAACTTATTTTTTTAACCTCCCCATGTCTGCACCCTTGCTATGGGGCTGACAACAATTGAGGCCATTTCTGACATGGTTTTCTAACCTCCCTGTTGTCCAAGACAGCACACAGGGACAGCAACTAAAAAGAATAAACTCAATAGGGTTGTTTTCTCTTTTGTTTTGCATTTGATTTTTAGAGGTACTGCCGCTCCTCTCAGCATGGAACATGCCAAGCTCTTTCCCAAAGCACGGTGAATGAAACTGTCAGGTCACATTGGAATCACCAGTGCACAAGGACAAGGTAGAGAGTGCTCTGACTGCAGGTGCTGCTCTGTTGAGCAGGGGATGATTTCAGCTGGTCTTTTCCTGTCCCCACTGGCCACTGATGGGGGGCAGAGGGAGAAGACAAGCAGGAAGAGGTTCAAACAGAGCTTTCTACTTGCTCACCTTTGCCTCCAGAGAAACCAGGGAAGAGAAAGGTCACAAGTCAGTTGAGCTACAGTGCTTAGGCTAAAGCAGCCCCACTCTTTCACGCTGGCAAAGTGCATTTAACAAAGATTTGCCTCCGCAGCAATCCATGCTGATGGTAATTCCCTCCTCTCTGCAGTTCCAGGAGGAGGAAGCTGTGGCGAGGAAGAGAAAGGACACACAGAGCAGGCCTGGAATCTAGTTTCATTTTATTTTAGCAAACGGCATGTTCTTCACTTATCAACATCTCTACATTAGCAATTGTATAGCTCTCCCACTGTTCTTTAAAAAAGGGTAAACAAGAGGTGACCAAACTCAGGCTCTTCATCTCTTAAAAACATTGGAAACTTGGATTTCAAGAAGACTTTTATATGTTTTGGTTTTAAGGTAACAGATGTGGCATGGAAACACTAATTCAAATCACCCGCCTAACCGAGAACTACCCCTTCTGGAGCCCCTCTGGCATCAGACGATCAGTGGATGCTGCAGGAGGTGATTACTGAAGCTCTGACTCACCATCAAACAAACCCTGCTGGTCTGAAGGAGCCAAACGTGCCACCTCCTCAGCCTGCCCCTCTACCAGCCGAGCAGAAAGCAGCACCTCCAGGACTCAGTGCAAGTGCTGTATATACACTGCTTCTTCACAGAAGCGATAAGGACCTCGTAATGCAGGGGATATAGGGAGGACTCTTTTGCCCTTGTACCTTCTCTTTAAGAATCACATTCCCCCAGTCATCCTGTTCCTGCTGGCTGAAGATATAAAGATCTTCTTTGAAGAACGTTTAAAAGCCAAGCCCCCCCGCCCTCCCCAGCCCCCAACCCAGAGGAACACCAGAAAATGTACAGGTTGTATATGCCCTAGAAGAAGTCCTACCATTATTGCAGAAACGACAGATGACTTGTTCCAGGGGAGGGGCAGGCACGAGGCCCGGCATTGAGCTCTAACAACTCCTCGGGTAGCTTTGATTTAAGTTGCAGCTTTTCCCCCCCCATCATTCAAGAAAACAAAAATAATAAAACCCCATTAAAAGAAGTGTTGAAGCATCAGAACTAAAATACAAACGCATGTTCGACTTAGAAAACAAGACTGTGGATTTGACCATGGCATTCCCTGACACTCCAAAGGTTTTACTTTTTTGCCCGGAGAGATTTCCTCATGGTGGATTTGCCCTTGGCAGAGGGTTTCACCTCCTTCCTCCCACTGGCTGCTGGTTTCTTAGAAGAGCTGCCACCAGAGGGTTTCTTGATGGCTGAGGCTGCTGGTTTGGCTTTCTTAGCAGGGGTTTTAACCTTTGGGGGGGGCTTTGCTTTGCCCCGGCTGGCGGCGGGGGTTTTCCTTGGTTTGGGTTTGGACTCTCTTCGCTTCATCGGAGGGGCCCTGCTCCGTGATTTTGGGGGTGGCCTCTTCTGCATCCTGTCAGAGAGAGACAGCACAAGAGCTCAGTGGAGGCCCAAATGGTACCCAGAGCAGAGCTGCTGCCATCGTCAATCTGCATCTTGTCATCCTCCTTTACCATGGGTATTGCTTTATGCAGCAGTACATTTCATTAGCTAAATCTCAAAGAGCAACAGCTCCTCTGGCAGATCTTGCCATACTCAGCACTTCTCAATGCCCACAGGGCTCTGCCAGAGAGGTTTCCACCTCCTTCGTTAGGGATATGAACATACAAATAATGAATCAAAGTCGATTGTCAGAACAGTTCAGAGACCTGACCACTCTCCTCTCTAAATGCAGTTGTATTACTTAACCAACACCACTTATGTTAAATCCGCATTCTGAGGAAGGCTGGCTTTGTACAGGACTGCAATACTACTATTGTAGGGAAAACATTTCCTAAGGAAACAATAAATACTGAAAGTCCCCTGTGAAATGTCACACTTCTGTGAAGCACAAAAAGCGACTTCAGAAGACTACAGGCAATACAAAGAATAAATACAGGCTCTCCTCTCATCTGGAGGAAAAAAAGAGGTGAGCTTCAAACTATGGAATAGGGGAGATCAGTATCTCTGGAGCAAAGCATTATCAGAAACTTCTTCCAACACCTCTGAGTAACAGCCCTGTGGATAAATAACCACACCGGGAGACAAACCAAGAGTCACTTGTATCATCTGAACAAGCCCATTCCTCTCTCCTGCGGCCATACCTCTTCTTTGGTGGCGGCTCTTCCTCCTCAGACTCTTCCTCTTCAGATTCTTCTTCCTCCTCAGATTCCTCCTCTTCTTCCTCATCAGATTCCTCAGAGTCCTCATCCTGCTGCTTCTCTGGATAGAGCACATCTGGGCTACAAGAGGATTCATGTCAGAGCGTGACTTGCTATTAAGGATAAGACTCCAGCAAGCCTTTGGTAACCCTAGCAGAGACTTTTCCAATCACTATGTTGCCATTTGGCTCTTTGTGGGACACTAAGTCACCATCTCTGGGCTCCACGTGGCCCAGCACAATATACACTCCCAGCAGAAGAAAGGCTGTTTCAGTCTCACAACAGCTAAT